TCCTCGGCACCAAGGGTGGTGACAGCTCAAGGGACCAGTCCCCCATCCCACCCTAAAGGAGGCCATGCTCCACAGCTGGTGCAGCAAGGTCAGGCTTAGCTACCCAACAATGAACTGCAGGGAATGCACGCCAGCCTATTGCTATGGGGGTAGGGCCAGCCGTTGAGCTCTTTCCACCCACCTAGCCCACGGACACCCCTGCAGACAGCCCTGCCCACAGCTGTCCTCACCGTCATGCTGGCTCGGGTCTGTCATCATGGCTCTGAGCTCCCGCAGGGCAGCAGTGAGCGGTTGCAGGGGCTCTTCTGCAGAGCCCAGCTCCTCCTTTGTGCCTGCAGCCGCACCTGAGAGGGGCGGGAGCCTTAACAGTGAGGCCAGACAGGGAACACCCGCAGCTGGGTGCCGACCTGCTCGCTGCCACAGCTCGCTGCTCTGTGTAGCAGAGTAAGACGAGGCCCTAGGCTCTCTGAGGAGGGAAGGGAAATCTCCCAACATGAGATGCTAACCATCATAATCAAAAAACATATTTATATCAACAAATGGACAAACAAAACACAAACAGGCTCACAGACCCAGAGAGCAGACCGGTGGCTGCCTGGGGTGGGGGTGGGGGAATGGGTGAAGCAGGTGAATGGGAAAAATCCGTGGGAATGTCTGGTGTCCCGGTCTTGGTCTTGTGATGGTCATGGGGGTGTGTACACATCAAAATGCATCGAGCTGCACACCAATATTTGTGTATTTTATTTTATGTACCTCAACAGAGGAAAAAGCAAATGGACACCTTAAAAAAACTGTTTGTAAATGTTTTAAGAAAAATTAAGCTCCAATGCACACCATCTCCACAATCATAAAGAGCATGCGCATAATGCGGAGGCAGCAGCAAGGAGCCCTGGGAGAGCAGACATGCGCAGTGGCGTTGATTCCACTTCTCAACTTTCCGTGAGTGTTAGATTGTTTTCTTTACAATAGGATGTCAACAAAAATGTAAAGAAAAAAGCTGAGAATTAGCTATAAAAGAGACAATTGCCAGTACTCAGCATACATTTAATAGATACACTAAATGCAAAAGAAAGACGGTTGTTCAAACACACCATTTTCATTACATAAAGGAAGACACAGCACATTGTTTTAAAGCCTGACAAGTCCAAGAAGACGCTAATTAAGGCACCGAGCCTCACACGGATCTCTCCCAAATGAAGCAAGAACCACGGACTCTAAGGCTCCCATGAATATTTAGACCAAGTATGAGAAAATATTCTAGAAGCCCCAAAGGTAGGACATGGGGCTGGGTGAGAACATGGCAGACACTGCCCTGTGGCCTCTGTGGTGTCCCCGGCACCACCGTGAGCACCCCCAACCATGTGTGAGATCTGGGACCTTTATTCTTTACCCACTCAAGTTTTCTGGGTCAGCATGGCTGCTAGAACTCTCCAAGCCTGCATTGATTCATTGGCCCCCAGTGAACATGTGTGTCCTCATCCTGGTGGACATGGGGGCTGAATGCTCACCATTTATGACAACCCTGAGTGGTTTCCCAGGAAACTGCTGTTACAGAGGGATACGGGGGTAAGGCTATCAGAGTGAAACAAGCTGAATCCTGTTGGGAATAGGGTGTCTATCTCCAAAGGAGCATACTGTGTTATGTCTCTCCCATCCCTGGATATCTTTTGGGGTAAATATCCTGCAGGGTCTATGTTTGCAGACCACTGCAGGTGAGGATACATGTGGTAAAGGCAGTTAAGGGACATGCAAAGGGGTTCTGCAGACTGAAACAGACCACAACTGAGTGGAATAGCCTCATTCGGCCCAGTCATCTGGCAGATGTCAGAGGGTCTGAACCAGCAAACACAAGCCCTGCTTCAACACAGCTCCTGCAGCTTATCAAGGTGCCTTGCTGAGAAACCAGGTCTCTGCTGATGGCGCCTTATTAGTGGGCAGGGTGGGGCAGGCAGGATTTTGCCTGCGATAGACTAGGGTCTGCACTGCTGTCCCCACACAGACCGCCCAGCACGACACGTTTCAGAACCAACACCAAGGCCTCGAGCCTGGTTGCTGAGTCTGGGCCCACCTGAATTTGAAGCTTGAATTCAGAACAGCAAACAGAAACTACACCACCACCTTAGTGGGGTGCTTAAAGCTGGCAGGTAGGTGGTACAGTGCCGTCTGCCCTCCATGCAGCACTGTAGGAAGTACCCTCCCTGTCAGCTCACCTTCTAGGCCTTCAGCCTAAGAGCCGGGGAGCTGATATCATGTGGCTCTAGTGCCGGGCAGTCCCTAAACCCACAGCTCTGGCCTGGTCCCGCACAATTCAACTAGCCTGGCACGGCACCGGTAGGTGTCACCAGAACACCTCCTGATCGGGGGAGGGGAGACACAGGCACCACAATGACTC